CTCCCAATCCTCCTGCCCCGCATATGATGAGCTGCTTGAGGTTATAGATTGCCACGGCGAGGCTTGACTTGCCGTGGAAGCAGGCCAATAAAGTGACGCCTCGAGGCCACCTCACGAGCGTTTTATTTCTAGCCATAGCCCTCCAGTTTAGGTGAGCCTTCCATTTCTTCCCGATCTTCATGTAGAGATCGAGAAGGCTTGGAAAAATCCATTCTCGTCTCGCATCCATAGATTCCAGCATATTAGTTATGCCAGCATCGAGGGGATGCATGAGAATGGTTATGAGAAGATGCCCCCTGTTGAAGAGACGTTGGCCTGCTATCTCTCTTTGGGGGAGACATGTTCTCTTAAGGCTCCCTCCCTGCCATCCAACCCCCTTCAGGATACATCTCGTTTGAATGGCAGGGCATACAGGCTGCAGCAGGTCAGGCTAACTGCCATTGGCAGATCCATGGCGGCCATCGTGGTTATGGAGAGACATCTGTGGGTGAATCTGGCGGATATCAGGTTGAAAGAGAAGGGCTTTCTTCTTGACACGTCAGTTTTCCCTTCTGAGCTTTTCTGCACTTCTGTCGAGAAGGTGGTCGAAAAGTTTAAGGAGGCCAAGACGCGCTCGGCTGCCTTTAAATCCTTCATTCCATGAAGGTCCAGGTCTGAGCCTGAATATCAAAGGGGTCTTGGCCCGTCTCGATCTAAGGATCAAAGGCGGGCTCAGAAGACTAGTGTCATGACTCGCTCCCCTCACCCGCCTGCGGGTAGGGCTCATAAGGGGTGTGGGTCTAAGGGTGACAGGCAAGATTTGAGGGAGGTGATCCAGACTAGGTGTTCTCAACGCTCTCATCTGGACCAGAGTAAAACCTGGCCCATCTACTCACCTCCCTCTGGGAGTATTACATCTGTTCTCATCGTCCTTCGCTTAATTCCCCTAAACATTTTCCCTCCTGACTGAGGTTAGGTAGGAGCCTCCTGCACTTGCATTGCAGTCTTTTATGCTGGACCTATGATGTTTTGGCTAGTTTCTATGTCTCATAGAACTACCTACTGATGGTCCGGACCCCAGTGCTATTTGGGTCAAGCCAGGCAGTGCTCCCCTCACCTCGGAGGGTTGTCTTGAGCCTGCCGCTCCCGTTTGAGCGTCTGTGGACTTCCCTCATCGAGTCCTCCACTCGTTTGAGCTCCATTGAGTAGCAGCCTCAGGTCGTCAACTCTCTCCGCCTCCCTGTTGAGCCGCTCTCCTTGTGGGTCGAGCCTAGC